ATTATATTTTTGGTGAACTGTTATCACACTTTGTTTCCAGACACTTCACACCAGAGATACCAAAATAATGACATTTATGATGAGTTTTTCTGTTTAACTTTTCAGAACTATTTTAGCTGTGGAGCAATAAATAGAAACTCAGAGATTCTGGTTATTTTCGCTCAAAATAGTATCTGGCTTTAGAATGTGCGAAATTACTAAAGCGGCCTACCGCAAAAATAGCTAAGACGAATAGCATTGCTTTACTAAATTAATATAAACAAGCCATCTATCCTTGTCATTGATTTGATTTTCTTAAGGGAAAATATTAAAAAAGTGCCATTGATTCTAAAAATGATGACAAAATTCGACATCATTTGCCAAAAAGGTAAACATAAAATTATGTAAAATTAACCTGTTTCCTGTTAATAATGGACGTATATACAGAACATTTGTAAAGGTATAAAGGTTGCGGTTTAGTAAATAGATCTAAACGTTATTATTCCCTTTTGACTCAAAGCATTGAAATAAATGTACTAAATGAAGAATTTCCGTGAAAATAACAAAAACAAACTATCATTTTTATGATATCCGATATAATAATAAAAGGATCAGCTTCATGTTATTTTATTAATCAATGAAGAATGAACACAAATTTTATTTTGGAGTAAATGCTTTACCCAAATAACTTGAAGCAATTCAATAGAACACCGGTTCCCTTTAACATGTATTGATTATTAAGGAAGCAATTATTCCTTTAACAGATCGGTTGTTTGAAGTTTATTAAAATAGTAATCATGTTTCAAACATGAAGTGTGGCGAAATTTCAATTAATTTTCTGTCAAGGTACGATTGAATTTCAACATTGATTGTTGGATACTTTTATATAAAAACAGCTTGACTGAAAGTTGTAACGTAACCTGTTCGTTTTAAAGCATTCTATTTGATGTAAAGTAGCTATCGTTACAGTTTCATTTACCTCAAGAGTTACATTTTAGTTTTTTGATACATTAGATGCTAGTATTTACCGGATATTTTTATAATTGATTACGGGAACTTGTATAGTTAGGGTCTTCTTAAAACATTTGTATTTTGAAACATTATGTATTCATTCTTTCTTTCTCTTTTTCTGACTTTAACAGTGAAGGGGTTATACATACATGTTATTACGGACTTCTTGGACGGTATAGATGCACCCTGTATACAGGATGGTAAAGGGACAAATGAAACCCCATGATAAAGGATTCATCTGATTACAAGTCATGTCGCATTTTTCACCATAGACGTTGGCATAGTATCCATTCGTAAATTACCCTGATCGGCTGGCACATGTAAAATGTTAGCAGTATAAAGTACATAAATTGTTACAAGTATCCCAACAGACCTAATACACAATAATGAACGTAAATGTCCGTTAGACACAGGGAAATGTAAAGGACAAGATTATCCCCCGACTCCTTTCTTGCACATGTCTTACTTTGTACCAGATGAACAATCCAAGAAATCTTGGCAGATAAATAAAATGTTTCCAGTCATAAAGCAGACTTTTGTACAATAAAATACGTCCAAGTACATGTTCTGATATAAACTATGTATGTCGGACACGGATAATATAAACGTTCAAGTGTAATTGGTGAATTTATCTCAGAGGAACCCAACGCTCATTAATGGTTCCCAGCAAGCACGAGATGTTAGAAAGATGTCAGGTTAACGATTCCATCTGACTAAAAATGACGGTTTGACAAATATTTTAATTGTAAAAATATCGTAAATTTATAATAAAAATAAAAATGTTTCCAGTGCAAAATCTTTTATTATAAAAGCATCTCCAAATCTGACCAGTTAATTTACTACAAACGTCCAGCTCATGAATTTCGTGTTATTACCACGATCATTTCTTAATGATTACCATAACCAGAGTTAAAATCTTATGCCGTCTGCATAATAACGTAAATTTCACCGTAAAGTTTCAAACAATTTGATTAATAGAAAATAGCTTTAGATAAAAAATTTTAGATCTTCGCGATTTCAAAGATAAAGAAAGGTCCAAAATAACGCTAGAACATTTGTTCCATTTAGGGAAATGCAAAGTTGATGTTATAGAATTTTCTGTCTGTTAGTTAAGGGCAGTCACTCGAAAAATAACATTGTTTTGTCTTTTTGCCTGCTCTGTATTAAGGATGTTTTCGGGAGTTTTTATATAGACATATAGGCAAAATTAAAACTGTTCAATAGAATTTCTTTACACTTGGCATGTAATTAGAATATGATAACTAAAACATTAATAAATGTCTATATGAAAACTCCGGAAAACGTCTTTAAATGGAATAAGTCTTATCAAATGGGGCTAGATAGTACACGATAATGTTAAACAAAATGGCTTGATTGAAGCAGACATTTGGTGAATTTCAAGGTCAAGCAAACATCTGCTTGATATTCTGTGCCTACTACGACCTAACTGTATTACTTGTATACTGTTGCGGTCAGTGTTCTGGTTTTAACATGACCGTGTAATTTTAACACCACCAAATTGCACAATATATCATCAATTTGTTCCTAGATTCACAGATTGGTATAACAATGACATGATACAATACAGCAAATGATTTTATATACACATTCCATAATGTGCGGACAATTACATTTCGTTTGCGTGAAAAAACAGAAACTAAAGACGAGTACAACAACTCACTTCTGAAAAGTTAAAACATAATGGTAAAAGATTTTGCAATTATACCGTAAGTTGCAGACAATATAAGACATATTTATTAACACCAAAGAAATCTTATTCATTAATATAAAAAGATACAAAAGCATGCATATTTCAAAAGCAAGTCAGTGTATGCTTTTATAAGAAATTCAACGCAAACGAAACACTAGATAAAATCCATCAACAGGGACATATTAAAGGAATATAAGAAGTATCTTGGCACTACACACGGTACATTCATGTATGTCTAATCGCAATCGCCTTCTATGCCAAAAATGTTTTGAAACTTTTCTATTTAGACCGGACGAGATAAAATTACACCTAAATGTATACGTGGGCTGTCCCCCTTGTTTTGAAATAATAAAAATATTTCAATTATCTTTATGTAACTAGATAATGTCTTAGCCAGAGCTTTCAGAGGTACAAGCTAGTTTCAAATAATGTTTTACGCGCAATTAGTTCATTTCGCTTTTAATATATCCTCCCTCGTAATTAGGTGAAATATGATGTATTGGTTCGTTAAACATGGCTATGCTCATAAGATCAATACTTCTGTCTTATATCTGCTTCTAATTTTAATTGTTGTTTACGTTGATTGATTTAGAAGAAATAGATAATATCAGAGTAGTTGAATGAGGTCAAGATTTAGAGGCAATAATTTCCGACTTTAAAAATTTCGAACAGATTGTTTTGTCTTTGATATTGTAGTCTTTAATTTTTAATGTATTAAAATGAGATGGCGAAATACCATACAACTTTTTGCTTGTTACACCTTAGATAAAACACTTTGGGATGTTTTATATTCGAGTTTAATTAGCATTTCCCAACGTTCTATATGAAATAATTTAGGGAAAATTAGTATATTCAAGAAAAAAACATTTGTTCAAATTCACATTTTCTATATAAAAAACATATACCTTTAAATAACAAGAAATTAAAAATGCAAATTGTAACCACTTCTCACTTCCCCTCGGAGCGTGCGCGTCGCTGAGAAGGCACTGGGCATCAGCAGAAGAATTACAGCTTGGCTGGTGGCTAACTTAAACTGAAGCCTCCGTGGGCGTTCAATACGGAACCGCTACTTAGTCAACAACTGCGGACCAGCTGCCGGTGTCCTGACTAATGCCGAGGGGAGTGGCCCTACAAAGTAGGCGCTTGGGTCGACGAGGACGGTGTGCTAGGGTGCGTGAGCCCCTAGCACGGTTAGACGGCTTGAACGGCAGGCATTTTCCTGGCACAAACAGCCCTTTTCAGGGCTAACCTTTCCTATTGTCACAGGTTACTGTACATTTAGGTTCTTATTGACCGCCGTACAGTGACCTACTTTTGGCTCAAAATTCATATCTTTGGCTAATACTCCGTGGAAATTGCATGGAGGTAAATAATCACAACTTTGTGCTTCAAAATTAACTCTTTAAGGACATGACTGTGACATGTCCGGGGTCCGTACTCGACAGCGAAAGCTGCATTTTGTGCCCGAAAGGGCGGATGGACCCTCATTAAGCTTTAACTTCAATCAAATCAATCAAATTGTAACCATATTTATTTATAGACACGTATATTTAGCAATTAAATAAACAGTGAATCTAACATAAATTGAAAATATTACATTCAATTCAACATAACAACACAACTATACATTAATTGTATGGCATTTCATACGAAATTTTTCACCATGGCTGGCTTTTTGAAAGTCAATAATTTTCATATATATTCGGACGGGAAAGAATCATAAACAATGTAAGGGGAAATGAACTTAAAGCACATTGGCCTCTATAAGTTTCTGTTAGGACAAGAAATAATAAGGTTTTCCATGTGCTGTGACCTACTTTTTACTTCAAATTACCAATTTTAAAACTTGAGCTGGAGATAATACAAACAACCATTCTGACCAATTTTTAAGGATTTTTTGGCTAAAAATGTAACCTCTAGAATGATAATAAAGTTTGAATATGGGTCATCTTGGGTCAAAAAATAGGCCACAACACGTAAAAAGGCAACCTATTTAACATTAGCACTATTTCAGATGCCGATATGAATTTTAAGTTTATGGCATTATATTATATCTGCTTTTCGTTCATTGCTAACAATATCAATAAGCCTCAATAATCAGGTGAGCGATATAAAGGCCATCATGGCCCACTTGTTTTTCTATAATAAGGATTGGCCAGGTAACCAGAAGTGTTAGAGATCTCCAGTGATACGGTAAACATTTCATGGAAACCGCCATCCAAGTTTGGTAAAAAGAGATTACTACCAAAAATTTGATACCAATTATTTGGTCAATCACAAGAAATTGAAAATGTTACTGGCAATCATATTTATTTATACACACGTATATCAAACAATTTAAATAAACAGAGTATCTTACATATAAATTAAGAATATTGCATTTAATTCAACATAACAAAACATTTATACAATAATTTTTTTTACCATGATTGTCAATGATATTTATGTTTATTACCCCTCACTTTTTTCGTAATGTTAATTTCCCATAGGCCTCTGGGAGTGATTCGTACTGTTACGTGGTCACGTGGCCTATTTTCTAAATAAAATGAAATAAAATGGCCGCCATTTTTCTCTCGATTCATTCTAATTTTCGACGATAGGGCCAAGGGAATCACCAAAGTAATTACGACTCTCATAAAATTTAGTTCTTTGCACCCTACTGTAGAATAGAGAAAAAAGAATCCTTAAAGAAAGTCCAACACAACAAAATTGAAAATGCTGCCGGCTCGGTTTAATTGAGCCTGTTCATGGACGGTACTGGAAAGTGCAAGTTACCGTCCACGCCCCCTAGCACCGGCTTAAGCAGAATTCAACATTAACACGAAAATGGTGAAATTTTGAATTTAGAAACATCCGCAGATGTGTTCATACGGCGGTTATCATGGAACCTTCAATGTGACACAGTAGAGTTCTTTTTGCGTACAAAATATCTTTTTGTTGAATAGCCAAAAAAGTAAACACCCGTTTTCAACGGAAGTAATTGTAATGTGAAAAATTTTGTGTCAAACTGGAACATGCAGACGATTTAAGAATGCAACAAAGGATTAATTAATTATTTTAATCAGTGAAACGTTACAGATAGAGTTGGTGGACAGACATCTGAAGGATATAATCGTTATTCTGTAAATGCACTTTTTCAAAAACCGTGCAAAGAATATTCAGGATACAGAAGGATCAGATTTCACAGATCATAACCTTATAAATGGGTTAGTGTTTTGTTTTCTAAATTAAACACAGCTCATTGTATGTTTATGACTGGTAGATATCATAACATGCTTAAAAAATAAAAGAAAAACAGCTTCTCAAGTAGGCCAACACTACACTTAAAACTTGCAAGGTATGGACAGTTTAGTTATTGCTACTATTGGTTTATTTTTGTTACAGTTATATTTAGTTTACAAATTTAGATCATCTCAGTATTTGTTCGGGGTAATAAAATAAATAACACATGGGTTTATGTGTAACAGTAAAAATATCATCCCTCGTGAAAATACTGTTACCCTCGGCTACGCCTCAGTATTTTCCTCGGGATGATATTTTTTACTGTTACCCACAAACCAATGTGTTATTTATATAATATTCTGAAGGTAAAGAATCTTACACATGAACTTAAAACGAATTTGTGTCTATAATTTTCTGTTAGGACAGTTTTTATACAGCTGATTATTAATCTCCATCTAGCAACGATTTGGCCATTTCAAAGTCAGGGACGAATAAACCAGCTTTGCTTTTTTCAATGTTTTTAAGTATTTGAACTGCCTCTTCACTGAATCTTTCAAATTCCTTTTCGATTCCAGCCTTTTTACGAAAGTCTTTCAAAACCTTTATTCTTTCCTGAAACCCTTCTTTTCTGTCATATGTTTCGTTTTCTATTATTAAGTCAATGTAGTCTGTCATATTCAATGGGTTTGGTCTTAGAGCAATATCTGAAAGCTTATCTGTGCATGACTTTACCACAAACATCAAGTATTTAATATCTTTGGAAGTCTTTTCGAGTTCTTGAACAAGCTTATCTATCACTTGCTCTTGCGTCAAGGCTTTACCTGACGCTTCTCTATACTTTTGCCTCATATTGTCGTATTCTTTTTTTACTTTGACAGAAACATAGTCTAATTTATATGTTGTGCTTTTATGTGTTTCTCTATGACATTTATTTGGACACTTCATGCAATAACCATCTGAATCAAACGCAATACATTCAAATTTTAAATCATGTTCATTTGCGCATTTGTCATGACAGGTGAGATTGCAATTTAAACACTGAGTTGCACGTTCACCACTAGGTAGCTCTCGCCTCTCCTTTTTAATCTCTTCTACTTCATAAGCAAAGTATTTATTGTCTTCTATCTTGCTGTAGTTTTCTTCCAAAATCTTTTTTTCCTGCTTTAAGCTATAAACCTTTGAAAGACCTAAGTCAAGCAAGGGTTGTAGTTGCGTTACTGTTCCTTCTAATTTATATCGTTGATCAAGAACATCTTTTGTTTGCTGTAAACTTCTGGATTGTAACCGAGCAATATATTCAAGAAAAGCGCGATAACTTTGCAAACCCATTCTCCAAAATAACGACGCTGCATTTGTGGTATCCTTGCATGTATTTGTTTCAAATAAACCAGAATTATTAAATAAAAATGTTTCCCCTTTTGGCAAACCTATCTCTGACATCGCTGCAAGTACAGGCGGATTTTTGTTATCTGCAAATGTAATGAAATAATAAATGTTGCTTTCCATATCTTTTCCAAATAAAGCCATAACGGACTTGAATATATAATCTTGGAAAACTGTCAAACGAGCGTCTGGAGATTTTACCAAAAAACAAACAGCGTCAATATATGTCACCCCTTTGGGCTCTTTTTCCTCTTCAAAGAGTTTACGGAGTTGATCTGCAATCTTTTGGTCCCGAATTGGACCAGCAGTGTCACCAAATCCAGGTGTGTCTATTACATTTAGCTGATATGCGAGACGGCTTCCTGGCTCCTGATTTATTGTATAGCATGTTATCCAATCTGTTTGACTTATTGCCTGTATAACAAAAATGTAAAAGTATTGCATTTAGCAAAAAGTGTCATGCAACGAAGCGTACTTTTTAATATGCATGGCTTGAAATGTTAAGTTTTATGATAGTTAATTAATTTTTGGCTAGTGTTGCCGTTTGTGGCGTTCTTTGGGGATTTTTTTTATTATGATCCCGGACATGTCTTAAATCATATTTGAACAATGGGAATTCTATGTCTATCAAGTAAATACTCACTGTAAAAAAGTTTTAATTGATACTTAAGATAAACCAGAAATACGCTTATGTGAATCATTTTAATAAAGGAATCCACTTAAAGAGAAACAAAACGCAAGGTATATGCGCTCAGTTATATGTGTTACTAGTTTGCTTTATCATGAACTATCATAGAAAAACAAAACATGTTCTCATTGTCTAATGCTCTATGAAACGGAAAAGATTTTTTCTTACTTAATTTAATCGGCAAATTTGTACCTGATTTTCAGATCGCTTTTTCTCATGTTCTTCTAGGTTTAAGACTGAGAACCTGAATGGGTCTTCCCAATTAACCCCGAGAGCATAGTTTGCTATGCCATCAACAAGTGTGCTTTTTCCAGTTCCTGTAGCTCCGACCAACAAAATAGTTTTTGATTTAACATATCCTTTTGCTGCCACACCTAAATTAAAAAAGAAAATACTGAATATAAACGCTTCAATAATTAAGCAATTTTGATGCTATTCCATATACAATCGTTATTTCAAGTATACTTGAAAATATTTGTGTGTGTAAAAGTTGTGTGCCCTTATTTATAAATAAGTAATGATAAGATAACGAAATCGAAATTACACCTTTACATAAGAATATATGCGATAGTTAACTTTTTGACTTAAATCAACTGTATCTTATAGTAAAAAACGTTCCAACATTATGTATTATAAATAATAATCATATTTTCAATCAAGTGTCCGTTTTATTATTGAACACTTTCCGATGATCTCAAGTTAGCTATTACAATGTATTTCCTTTTCAATTAACAGTACGTATCACACTTTCGACATACATTAATATCTACCTATTTCATATTTTTTTGTTTTATTTTCTTCGTTTCTTGCTGATATTATTTCAGTCATTGGTAGAATATACTTGTAAGGGGGTTGTTTTCCGTCTTCAATTTTAATGGCCTTATTCAAAAGACGAAGAGCCAGTGATTTAGACGTAGTTATTCTATCACTTTCCGGACTGTAAGGCCCTTCCTCGTCATCATAAACGGCCTTGACACGAAAGATGTAAGTTGTATTCGTCTTCAACTCTGATAATGTAGCGGAATGATAATTTGGTTCAACCTGAAACTTTTTCCATTTACGTTTCCTGTCTTCCATATCAGTTGTATAATATATTTGGTAGTAATCTTCTTTACCAAACTTCGATGGTGATTTCCATGCAATGTTTACCGTGTCACTGGAGATCTCTGACGCTTCTGGTTTACCTGGCCGATCCTTTATTATAAAAAAAGGAAAAAAGTTACTTTAATGTAATATTTAATAATGGTTTCTCTATTATCATATAATAAATCAAATTTTAAAATTTATCGATTTAAGAAAAAAGACAACCGCTACCTAATCCTAACGTTTCCTTTCGAATAAACTTCCTTCATTTCATAACTCGAATAATCTTATGACTTAGACGTTAAAGGACATAGGCTTAAGGTGATTCCAATTTTTGTCCGCTTGAAAACAAATTAGCGCGATACTGTACTTTTTTCCCTGAGAGGACTATTTCTTGAATTATATGTGTTATTTGATAAAAATACAATGTTTAACTTACATTTTCAATCTTTTCCAAATAAACGTTATAATCTTTTCCTGTTTCTGGATATCTGTAATAAAGTAATATAGGTTTTATAAATGTTCATGTTCAAATAAAGAATTGAAATTGTTTCAAAGATTAGGTGAGCATTTGAGAAATAAGCATTTTGCAGCCCTTAAATAAAAAAACAAAACATTATTTCCATAATTTGAACAAGAGCACCACATGAACTATGTGGCTGAATTAAAATTTCTTAAAGTAATCAATAATAATCATAAAATTAGCACAAATTTTATTTTAACTATCCTTGATACTAAATAACCCCCAGGAGGGAACGTTCATAACCGTAAGTGTATAAAATCTGTATTTTTTCTGAAATTGACATAGCTTCAAGCAAAATAATAAAGTTCTTGCTTAGAAGATCAAGTCACATAGGTAAGGTAGTGCATATGCATGAGCCCGTGTTATTACGCGTATGCCGTACAAAAGCGACATACTCTCTGGTCTCGTTATAACCGGGACAGAACAAATTGTGAAATCTGACACCGTCGGGATTCGTTTTTTTATTCTTTCGGCTTCATATGTATTCATCTTTTTGTAGAACACATTAAGGGAGGTTCCTCTTATAATTTTATAACCCTTACACGTTTTTGTTTTAATTATATTAAATTACGGTTATCAAGCTATCAAGAATTTAAACAAAACATTTGAAACAACAAACTACTCCTTATTGTGATGATTTTTCCATGTTTAATTTAGTTTTCAAAATTGATGAATATTATTTCTCACAAACACCGAATAACATTGCAAGAATTAGCCGTTTCATTTGTGTTAATCACTCAAAAATTGTTTTGTCATAACATTTCATCACCTAGAACATAATAAGCTCGGAGCGATGACAAATCCAGGGTGACTCATTTGATCACAAATTGCTTTGTAGCTACTTTTCCCGATGTTAATTTCTTACCATAAATATTCTTAAAGCAAAAAAAACATTTATTATTTCATAAGGTAAGTACCACCCATTAATGAATGAATATAAAAGAAAGAAATTCATGACATCATTATACACAGAAAATTCGTAAATGCTCTGCACATAATAGATTTGAAGAGGGAGATTCTTTTAAACATGCCATTCTTCACTTCATTAAACATGAGAAGACTAAAAGCTTTAGGGTTTTCCGTTTTTACTAAAAATTCTTGTGTTTCACTGTTTAAGGTATAGAAGAACGGAGTCTCTAAAGAACGCCAAAAACGACAAAGTGCAAGTGTTCCAGACTCAGTTTGATTGAGCCTGTTGATTGACGATAGTTGTAATGGCTAGCTACCATACTTGTTCCCTAGCAAAGGCTCAAGCAGAATTCAACATTAAAGGAAGGAAATGTTGATTATATAAAGTTTGTAAGTGAGCCTCGGGGCCGGGCAATTATTGATCCGTGGGACATGATTTTTATCACTTTTCTAGCAGTCCTGTTTTCCTTTTATTATAAATCTATTTAATTTAGTGGATTACGGGCAGGATCAATTTTAATCTGAGGATGGCCGAAAACACGTTCTGTACACTTTCTTGTCATTATTATTAACACATTTGTATTTCTGCCACTTGTTTTAATCTAATTTTATTGGCTCAAAAGATGCAGAGCGGTCGTGAATGTTTTCGATTTGTACAAAATTATAATGTGTGGCTTTAGCCTTGACCTAAGTATTACCAAACTTGTGCTCTGTGCATGGTCTCATTATGCAAAGAATTTTCGGCTCTTTAAGATACAGAACAGCAAAAAATGTCTAACAGACGGATGTTCGTGCCTTCTTTCTTAGTTGACGTTATGTAATTATATATTTTATCTTCTTTGATCCCTAAAACCCCAAAGGAAACCACATTCATTCTTTAAGAATTTTTCATATGAAGAGAAGAGATGAATTCCCCTTAAACAATGTTAAACCCACTGTGTATGCGGTTTCCTACTTTTTATGACTCTAGATTATGAATGGAATGAAACGCATTCATCATTCAATGATATCCCGGACGGACGAACGTCCAGGTGGACGGACGAACGTCCAGGTGCAAAACGTTACATAAAGAACATTTTTCGGGCGTATAAAAAAACATTTAAATGGAATAAATAGAAAATAGAGTACATACGATTTCGATCTGTTTGAAACATATGTCTCTAATTTATCCCGAGTGGCACTCTTTTCGTCTGAAATAAAATAGAAAGAGTAAATAAAAGTAAACGCGTGAAGTGTTTTCGTGCCAATCTTAATGTTATATGAAAAGAAACTTACTCCTAACCAGGAGTTCAATAGAGCCTAATTAGGACTTTGTAGCCCTACTTAAAAAGTTATATAAGCGTAATTAGGGCTTTGTAACTTCTTATGAGTCATACAATTCTAAAAGGGTCTTTTCTGCTTATTAAGTCGTTATTGAGATTTCTTTCAAATTAGGCTTTAAAATACTAGTACCTTATTAGGACTCACAAAGTCCTAATAAGATTTCTAATTTGTTTCTTAATTGTGATATTATAATTAAGTCCTTGCTATTTTATCTTCTCCTAAAATTCAAATTTGGTTTGAATTTCTTCTTTTTATAACTTCCAATAAGGAGTTATCTATTATAGAACACTAAGGGTGGCACCTTGGTCCTTTCATACAGTCTTAAGCAGTTTGCAAAAATACCGTTAATAATGCTCGATCTTTCATTTCATTAAAAGTCCCAATCGTTCACATTAGTCAAACACGTGTTTATGTAATAGAAAGAGCACCGAAACACGAGGCTATCTGATTTGTACGAAGGGCATAGTTTATCGTTTAACATAAAACACGTTCCCTGTTGCCACAATATGATTCCCCAGAAAAAAGAAACCAATGAACGAGCATCTGAATATGATATTTCTGTCGCTTCCCCTTTCTCTGCCGTCACAAAAAGTAAACCCCAGCAAAAAAGTCAATTAATAGGCATGCTCTTGAGTGCGGGTAACTAATACCTATACTCCAGGTAAAGCACTGTGCATGTATATGTATATGATTTAACTCTAACACATTTTCAACAGAAAGGTCGCCAAACTATGAAACCATAATGATTAAGCATTTGAATATTTCATGAGGTTTTAAGTCTTTTCGATATGCAATATACTGAAAACGAGCATTCCATATCACAAAATGTAATTGTTACAGAAAAATTTAAACTAAAATGTTACCATCATCATTAACATTCTGCCTTGCTCTTTTAGCTCTATTGGTGATTTCACCCTGCAGAATGTAACACAATAGTATTAGCAAGTGTATGTGTAAAAGCCTTATCACATTACAATCAAAAATATTTAAAGGATATAAAGCTACATCTCATATTTATTATAAATATTTATATATGTATAAAGGGTAAAATTATATTGTTTCCGTAATCCTTTTTTAGATTCTCAAAAGATTTGAAATTTACCATGTTTCTGTTACTTAACAAACACGAACATTGTATGTAAACAGAAAAACAGAAATAAAAATGTTCAGGAACAAAATATCTTTCTATTGCAGCATTGATTGTTTGCATGCGTCATTGGCTCTTAAGTAACACGCCAAACATATTTCTTTCATAACGGTAATTTTGAATAATTTTTTGTCAACAAACAATATCTAAGTACAGACAGGAAGAAGTATATGAATAACTATAAATGAGTACTAAATGTCAAATACAAATAAAGTAATATTCTTAAAGGAAGCTGCTTATATCTTATTTCTAAACCTTTATGGAATATATAATATTATGCAGAATAAATTTCCGCTGAATAATATCGCAAAAATAAAGTCAATGAAATACAACTTGCAATCAGTCTGTAGTTTCTGATAAGCTATCATGGATGAGATACAACTTCTTTCAAATCTAATGATATTTCTTTGAATATTAAAAAATAATTCAACTCGAGTTTTGCCTAGTGTTGCGTTGACTAAGTAAAATAACACTTTTGAACTTACATTATCAGCATTGTCTTCTATAAATCTACTGCAATTTGGCAATGCTGAAGAAATAAATGAAATATATCTTAGCATGATACATTATAACATTTGACTTAACACAGCTTGGAGAATGTCTTATTCTATCGTTATAAATGATTTTTGATAAGTTTTAAGTAATTAAAAACATAATTATGAAATGAATTACCAAGTTGTTGCTTTGTTATGATTATGACACGTTGTAAATGTTCAATATCAATGGATGTTTCCAAAGTGATAGTTTCGCCAATGCTGTGTGTAAGAATCTCTGACATCTTATTTAAATAATTTGAGGCTCCCCCTTCTTCAAACATTGTCAAAGCATGCTGAAGACCTTCGATTCCTGTACATTTCATATTGAACCAAACAGTTCCTTCGTGCGTTTGGCATTCTTCAGATGTAACGAGATAGAAGAGAAATATATTAAATTGATGTTTACATATTTCATGGATTAATATAGATTAATATATACGACAAATTATGTCCATACATAGATAAATTTTCTTATACATATATACGCGTATATATGATTATACTAGTAAGAAATTATGTCTATCGTAATGGAATAAGATTAAACGCAATACATACTCATCTGCCTTAATGCTTCAAACAGCGAGTCACGAAGAATGTATGCAGTTAGATTAATCTTTTCTCCCAATATGTTTTGCAGGTTTTTGGATATATCTTGCAGGTGAGTTTTCATGCGCGTACTTTCAAAAAACTCTATAAGTTTTAATAAAGCATGCGCAGAATGACTTTCAAATGTAAATATTATAGAGCCCCGATCTCCTCTGGTTAAATTCACTCCAGTTTCTTCAATGTCTTCTTTAAGTTTGTTGAAATTTTCAGAAAGCTCTTTGTTTGCTGTTACTTCAGTTCCGTCGGTGCTTTGATTTGATGCTGCAAGGAGCTGAGCTTCAGCTTTTTCAACAATGTTCTGTGTCCTGGCATAGACATGAACAGCTCCATACACCGCTAAAAGTTAAAACACGGTACAATGACAACTTCAATTTATGCGTATATTCAAAATTTCATAGTGTTAAAGCAATTTAATTTCTCTTACATCTAAATATGAAAGTGTAAAGCATGATTTAAAAAATAACTCCATTCATTTTTAAAAACATATGCCTATAAACGATTCAATTTAATGCAAGTTATATACGAGGGTGCATTAACAAATTCGTAAACTAATTCAATAGCGTCAAAACTACTGGTCTGTTTAAAATGAAACTTTAAATGCTGTGAAAACAGATTATTTCAAATTGAATCGCACTATATACATAACTTTGACGTCATCACTTATGACGTCACGTAAATGACGTCACGTTACGGGCGTCAGTTCGAAAATAGCGTCACACAGCGTCAAAGAACACCGCATCTTTATAAAGTTTTACACAAAACTCGTAATATAATGACTTACTGTTCACAATTTTTGCATGCTTTTGCTCACTTGTTTCTTCCTTTCTTAAAACTATCAAACTATTCAAGGCGTCTTTTATTTCAGTTAAATCCTGTTTGATAATATGAAGATTCATGCCAAAAACATCTGCAAACAAAAGCTAACAATACACAAACTATTCCTTATGTAAAAAAGTTTTAAAGACGTACAGTTTATGTTTACACCAGCGAAACACTCTTCAAAATTGAAAGGACTTTTACCTATTTCAAAATACTTTTTTTCTGACAAAACAGACATAAAGAAGAAATTCTAAAGAATAGCGATAGGAGTGTTCTGCACTTTAAATTTTTATGGTCAGTTAATTCATGACAGAAATATAGGGAAATGAGCCAATAGAAAGACGGTCTTTAAGATTATAATTTTAAAACCATTTAAACTGCAATTTTTGTCAGATTATTTCAAAATCCCTTGTTGGACCAACCATATGGACTTAACACAAAAAAAATTTAATCAGACAATATCGACCTTGGACCTTGACCGAAGAAGTTGGTAAACATTTGTGCCTTCTTATTTCATAATTCCTTGGTGAATGGCTGAGTTATGGACCAGACACATGTGTGACGGTAGGACAACATGTAGTCAATCACTTTTTCCAGATATTTCTATATTTTTCTTTTTTCTATTCCCCGTTTTTGAAAAGTCAGGGGGCAAAATTTTCCAACGATACATTATGTCAGTTTACTAGGACATAGTGAGTACCGACCGAAATTTTAATTATCAATATGTTTATATTGCATTGGTTATGCTAATGATCATATTATACATTTTGTTATTTGTATCAGACTTACTGTTGAGACATTGTTTTATTTTATTAATAAATTCGTCTGAATCGTTCAGGTTCCTTATTTCCATAGTTGCAGAATTCATGTCTAGCTTTGTACTGCATAGTTTACTTATCAGATTGTCGTTCTTTTCTTTTTCATACTCCGGCATCTTTGCTCCTATTGTTGTCATAATTAATGAAAGTTCACTCCATAGCGAATAATATGTATTTCTGTCAATACAAGCTTTTGCGTAATGTGCGTAGAAATCATTCCGCATTTCTCTTATTTTCTTGACAGCGAGCTCCTCCGGAGTGTTCAATTCTCCCTTAAAATACTCTATTAAAATGAAACATAGGAGTTGTATATCCCATTCCCTTATGTCTGAAGTCTTTGGTGGGTCCGGGTACAAAATTTCCATCTGCTCTCGTTTGACGTATTGTGATGCTTGAATTATTTTTTTATAGGACCTGAGAAAATGTTCAAGGGTTATTTTCTTTTTCTCTAAACACATGAGCAATAAGTTTCTAAGAACACGCGTTCCACCTTTGATAAGGAGAAGAACGAAACGAATGTAATACGCAGTTTCAACGTTCATACCACTGCAACTGACCTGTTTAAAAAAGAAAATATCATTCTTTCATAAAACGATATTTTTATAGTTTTAATTTGATAGTCAATTTTGACACATTAATGTCTGTTTGTTTGTACTTGTTTATTACCAATTAGAACACATATATTGTAAAAGTCAAATGTCGACCCCTCAGCTTTACATGTAGGGGAAGGTCTGTGTCGCCCGTCCTTGCATTGAATGCAGAACAATTAATGTACAATTGTTTTCTAAACCTCGTAAAGTTCAATTATTATAAGCACATATATGAATAGAATATCAGTTGTTGTATCATAGTTTGGGGACCTTTCTGTTGAAAAAGTGTCAGAGTTAAATCGTATACATATACATGCACAGTGCGGTAACTGGAGGGCAGGTATCAGTTACCCGCACTCCAGATCATGCCCGTTGATTGGCTCATTTTTGCTGGGGTTTACATATTGTGACGGCAGAGAAAGGAAAAGCGGCAGAAATATCATATTCAGATGCTCGATCATTGGTTACTTTTTCCCGGGGTTTAAAATTGTGAAAATTAACAGGGAACGTGTTTTTATGTTTGACTATGATACAAAAGAGAAAGAACACCAAAACACTCGGCAATCTGATTTATACTCGGGGGCTACGCCCCCTCGTACAAATCAGATAGCCTCGTGTTTCGGTGCTCTTTCTATTACTTATCCCATTTCAAAAACTTGTTGATTGTGTGCTATCTGTTTCGCATATTTGCTTTCTGATTTTTCATTTTACATGAGATTAAGTGAAAATAAAAGAGAAGTATGGAACGCCATGACTATCTTATGTGTTCAATGTTTTTGCTATCTTGTGAAACGATGATATTATTTGGCCGTTTTAGCATGTTAACATGTGCAATTTACACCATGTCTTGTCAAAGGACCATGCTGACTTTTCAAACAACATGTTAACTTGTCAGATTATCATGACATGTGCAGACAACATGTTAACTTGTCCAAGTACCGTGATGACATGTGCAAACAACATGTTAACTTGTAAAAGAATCGTGATGGCATGTGCAAATGACCCATTAACTTGTCTAGATTTAATGATGACATGTGCAAACAGCATGTTAATTTGCCGAATTATCGTGATGTGCATTATACTTCGACAAGTTAACATATTGTTTGCACAAGTCATCATGATTCTTTGACAAGTTAACAATTTCTTTGCACATGTCATCACGATAATTCGACAAGTTAATATGCCGTTTGCACATGACATCATGAAATTTTGACAACTTAACATGTCTTTTGCACATATCACGATACTTTGACAAGTTAACATGGCGTTTGCACAAGTCATCATTATACTTTGACAAGTTAACATGGCGTTTGCACAAGTCATCATTATGATTTGACAAGTAAAGATGTTATGTGCGTGTATGCAGTATGGTCCTTTGACAAGACATGGTGTAAATTGCACATGTTAACATTCTGAAATGATAAAATAATATGATCGTTTCACAACATTTATCACATAAGACAGTCATTGCGTTCCATATTGAAGGATTTATCTGCAATATATACAAAGGAAGTTTTATTTATTGTTTAACCGTATATCAAAATTGTTTTATACCTCATGATCTTGATCACTGGTCTCTAACAATTCACTGTATGATGAACACTCACTACTCGATCTGCTGAAAATAGCGCATAACTGATATTAGAAATTAGAACAATACAAAGCAAATATATATTTAATGATTTATAATCTTTACGTTGCAGCAATTTTTTATAGGTAACATTCATCATATTGATCAAATGTTTAACTATAAATGCATACCTATTTCCTACATCATCGCCTGGGTGTGCTGATAAATCAACCTGTGTATGGGTTTGGGTTTTTGTATTTACACAGTGCCTGCGGGAGCATCGATGGCATAACAGTAACATACAGTCAACACATCTTTTCACCGCATTTATAGTCTTTCCCCGTTTTATACATAAGTCACAATTCTTATGTTCTTCTAACGAAACCCCTTCCTCGACAGAAACGAGATTGTGGTTTTGTAAGTCAGGAATTACGAAATGATCTTCCTTGCAATCTGTACATAAATATTGTTTACACTGCTTACAAAACACAGAAGCATCTTCTTCATCGTCACAATCCAAACACAAAGAACATTTTCGTAAATTTTCCATTTTAATATTTGCCAACGTCACGAATTTTTAACGGCAATCATGTTGCAATACCTAAAAATACAAACTATTGATTATTAGAATATGAAACTTTAAATTTTGAAATCAAGAGTGGCAATTCATTTGTGTTCATTTTGTATCGGGAGATGAGTTTAAAGATTGATGAATGTGAAGATTCTAGAATCATTTTAAATACTTGCTAAGATATAACTGCAATTTTACAGACAAATTATCTATCTGAAAATCGTTGTCAGTCAAATATTTATTGTGTTGATGATTGTATTACACATTTAAAGTAGTTCACTAAATGACTAAATGAACAAGCAATTATCATAGTATTGCAAGCAATCCATAAGTCCCCTACCGGTTAGAACCCCAGCAACATTCTGATGGGCCATTCAATTATACCATTGAATGAATGAATGACATCAATGAACTTAAATCTTTTGAGTTCTAAGTTTGACTATATCATAGAAATGTGTTAGTTTCCCTGCCAAGTAAGTAAATTATGTTTATACAAGAGATGATCAAAAGGGCCAATTTTCTCAGGATAAATAAGTATATAATGTTTCAACATTCTCTATTTTAAGAAAATTTGTTGGAAAAAATCTTTAAAAGTGATCTAAGAAACAGTTTTTATGAACAGACAGACAGACAGACAGACTGAAGGAGACTCTAAAGTTATTTTTTTAACATCCCTGACTGTAACCTAAATATAACAGAGGAGATAATTATATAACTCTTTAAATAAAGATGCTAGATTTATGAACATTGTCATACATGATGATACCATTTATAGCCACAAAGAAGAAAAGTAAAAAAAATAACAATTTTCAAATATACCATTAACATGTATAGTAACAAAGATGAAAATTTAAAAAAAAATGTAGGTGTTGATAATGAATGTTTAATTTAAATTTGAAGTAAATCCATGAAGAAATAAGAAAATTAAAGAATGAATAAGAAATATTCAAAGTTTAAGGAGGAGACAATTCTGGAAATATTGATTCTAGATTTATAAACCTTGTCATATTATTATGATGTGGGAGTTTGAAGTAAATTCTAAAAGGAATGAAGAAGTTGGGAGTAAAAAAAAACAATTTCTCGAAAAAGTTTAAGGGGGTATAATACTGAAAATAGTCTTGCTAGAGTATTGAACCTGCTCACATATGTTGAATGATAATAAGAAACATACATATGAAGTTTGAAGCAGATACATAAAGAAATAAAGAACTTATTAAAAAAAAAACATTTTTTTCATGCAAATTCTAAGTTCAAGGGAGGTAATTCTGATAAATTTTGTGCTAGAGTTGTAAACCTTGTCACATATGATGTGGTTGATGACCAGAAACGGATATTTAAAGTTTGAAGTAAAAACCTTAAGAAATGAAGAAGTTATAGTGAAAAAGCGTAAAAACTGGAATCAGAAATCTTGAAATTCAGTGTATTTGTTACCAAAGCAACCAGAATTTTCAACATAGGAAGTAAAGAAAAAAATGTGCATTATCTCCAGACTGCCATCTACCCATATTTCAAGTTTCATAAAAATATTTTCAGTACTTTTTACGTTATCACTGGATCCAGTTTATGTGTTAAATTTGCCATATTTTCAGTCTATTTGTTGCCATAGCAACCAGAATTTTCAACATAGGAAGAAAAGAAAAAGACGTGCATAATCTCCTTAGTGTCATCTATCCATATATCAAGTTTCATAAAAATATTTCCAGTACTTTTTAAGCTATCACGGGATCCAGTTTTGTGGACGGACGGACTGACGGACAGACGGATGTTCTTACAGGACAGTAATTATGTGGCTACTCTATTGTTCTCTCTATTGTTCTTTTTAGCCACACAAAAGAAAATAGCCACATAAAAGCATTACAGAATGAATGACATCAAAGAGAAAGAACAGTTTCCTATTGTCCCTCTAGTCACATAATTACTGTCCTGTGAGTGCGGACAGGCAGACAGACGGACAGACGGACGGAGGTTTAACCTAAAGTCCCCTCCTGTTAAACCGGTAGGGGACTAAAAACATATTGAAATATTACAAAACTCCAAATCTGTGACATAAAAGAAAAGGTATCAACTTTCAAATAAGTAAACAAACGCATACATTTATTCTTTTTGTAAGAGCTGTATGCTATATTCGCGTATACTCTTATAACAGATCACTTAACGTCATAGGTTTTTCTACTTTGTATAGTTTACCATTATAAAAATTACGACAGTAACTATTGACTTAAATATTTTAAAAGGTACTGAATTTCTATTCGATTACCATCTGACAGGTTGTTTTAGCCGGCTTTATCGATCAATGTCATTAGAGTAGACAATTTTTTTTTCTATTTGGAAATTTTCATACTTTTTTAAAGGTGATTTAAGTTTTCTGCGCTGAGTTTTTAATAATTTTGCACTTATTTGAAATTTTGAATTGTGAGCTTTAAATTGTTATTGCTAATAGTTTCTCGATTTTGATGATATGGGATTAACCTAATATATTCACATTTGTGAATCACATTTGTAAAATCACGGTCAAGATTGGAAAATATGTAAAAAAGGACTCAAATAGGCTACCTCAATGGACAACCTCTGACAGACAAAACAGATATAATATCAGCTTCTTTCTTTTACATTGATAATGAATAATTATATATACATATACCATGATATATCATGTATAGGTTAGAGTGCATATTGGGTGTTCTTCGTAAATAAGAAAGCTATAAAGGAGCGGAGCTTGCGAAGCGACTGTAGCTTTCTTATTTACGAAGAACATCCAATATGCACTCTAACCGGCTTATTGCTCCGCCCACTTGCGTTTTATAATATAAAACGTCCAGTTTATATCAAATCTGTTCTATTAAGATTTGAAACCTGAAAATTTGAAAAATCCTCGTCGGTGATTGGCTTAAAAAAAAGTTCGCGAGCACTAAAAATATTTTATGAATTATTTTTCAGAATGATTTTGATACTTGCCTTAAGACATGGAATCTTTATTTATTTATTTATTTTTGTCAAAAGATAGATCCATAGAGGATAATATTCAAGACATGATTTATTTTCATCGAGTGGTATGAAAATAAATATTTCATGAGTGGCGGTAGCCACGAGTGAAATATGTTAATTTTCATGCCACAAGATGAAAATAAATCATGTGGTTACAGAAGAAACTTGAATTTTCTGTTTATTATATACATTTTCTACTTTTTTGACATTACAATTTGAAAGACTTTCCCTTAAATGTACTGGCAGAATTTAAAAGAAAGTAGTCCGTCAAGACACCAGTGAAAATACCGAAAATATGTTTCACCACGGTGAAAAATAAATTTTTACAGTGAAAATACGGAAAATGAAAATACGCTTTTTATTCCATCAGTATTTCCCAATATTTCATCTATAAGTATATAATAAATAGTTATCCGTCCATATGTTCCTAAATTTGAAAACGATAACTAGAAGTACAAATAACCAAAACATATCATATGCAAAGCATTTTTTCCTTCATTAAAAATCCTTTTTTTTTTGGGGGGGGGGGGGGGTAGGGGGTTAAAATATACATAATGAATTTCTTTTTTTGATAGACTTATATTTAACATAATAGTTATGTAATTATAGAAATGTGGAATGTCCACAAAATCAACTGCAGTAGATGTACATTTGTTTTTATAATGCATTTGTTGTGCACTTATACATTGTACGGTATAGAGTAGAATGCCCTCGGCCTACATAAACCTACCTATTGACGAGGAAAATAAATAAAACACACACATTAGTGCTCGCCAATTTTTTTAAGCCAATCACCGACGAGGATTTTTGCAAATTTTCAGGTTTCAAATCTTAATAGAACAGATTTTAAATAAACTGGACGTTTTATATTATAAAACGCAAGTGGGCGGAGCTAAGTTTCGAAGAGCGCTAAAGTGCAATATACGCATGTGCAGAGATCTTGAAGTACTAATCAATATTTATGCATCATGTTTTTTCCGTACACGCACATGTATATCGCCACTACGGCATAGAATAAAAAAGAGGTTCATTGACACTCCCGTTTAACTCACAACGAGTGTAAAATGTCCATCGGTAAAACTGTTGTGAGCAACTTCCGTTCCTCGTTGTGAGCACCCGTCTAGGACGTTTGATACGATAAACAATGTGAGATTTTCATAATTTTTGAAGATTACAGACATTTATGTAAAAATATCGGAATGCAGTTATCTAGCAATGTGTTTACCGAGTATACACATGTAAAGATATTGCCTGTTGGTCGGCAATTTGATGGAAATACCGTGCGACGCAGTCACTCGGGGTAGCTGGAAAACTGGAGACAACTTCTCTCCGAACCAAATCTAACATTGAAAACTTCGATTTTGGTGAAGTTTTGTGCATTCTTAACTTAACAGATGCCAAGAAGTCTTCACGGTAAATTATTACCTGAAAGTCTTCATAGAAACGAAGATATACCCTTTTTTTGCTTTAATCCTCGTTGTGAGCACCATAACCTTGTTGTGAGCAAGACAAGCGCAGTGCGTGTCTGGTATGTAATTCAGATGGTGAAAATATAATTTTCAATCTACCAAAGCAATTAAAACGTTTTTGCACAGTCAGCATTTCTTTGCAAGACGTTGTGCATACCCCGAAGGGAGGCATATTAGTTTTGAACTGTCCGTCCGTCAGTCCGTCAATCCGTCCGAAAACTTTAACATTGGCCATAACTTCCTTATTAGTAAACGGATTTGATTCATATTTGAACACAACATCCCTTAGCACAAGACCTTCCTACGGACCTGTATTTTTTACCTTGACCCCTGAATGGCCTTTTATCTGGTCCATAAATCAAATGACAAAGCACCACTTCGGGGGCATTGTCAACTTACTTTTTCATGAATTGAGCAATTTTGAGTTGTATCCCTAAATGTTATATTATATATATAGTGGGAAAGGAAAAAAATGACAGAATCCCCTGTGATTATGCGACTATCATTTTTCGCGGAGGATTACTTATTTAGTGTGTTGTAACTTTTAACAGTACACAAGTATATTCTTAGCTTAATAGATAATGGTAAACAAAAAAAAACTACATATACCTACGATTTTGCAAATGTTTTGCTGTTTGTGCAAATGGTGGTGAACTTATAAGGGGAGGTAAATTATACATGTATACTATTTAATTGCATATACTTCGTGTTGCCAGAGTTAACATAGAGGGGCAGTCTGTGTGATATAAACATGCATGTATTTATCCTGGGCTTCATTCATGTTAGACTGGCCAAGCTTATATGTAGAAAAAGAAGAACTATTGCAAAGAAAAACTATTGTACAAAAACGTTTCGATTGCTTTTGGTAGATTGAAAATTGTATTCTCGCCATTTGAATTACATATTAAAACCAGACAAGCACTGCGCTTGTCTTGCTCACAAGGTTATGGTGCTCACAACGAGGATTAAAGCAAAAAAGGGTAGGCTATATATCTTCGTTTCTATGAAGACGTTCAGATAATAATGTACGCTGAAGTCTTGTGGGCATCTGTTTTAGGTTAGGATGCACAAAACGTCAACAGAATCGACGTTTTCAATGTTAAATTTGGTCCGGAGAGAAGTTGTCTCCAGTTTTCCAGCTACCCCGAGTGACTGCGTCGCACGGTATTTCCATCAAATTGTCGACCAACAGGCAATATCTTTACATGTGCATACTCGGAAAACACATCGCTAGCTAACTGCATTCCGATATTTTTACATAAATGTCTGCAATCTTCAAAAATTATGAAAAACTCACCTTGTCTATCGTGTCACACGTCATAGATGGGTGCTCACAACGAGGAACGGAAGTTGCTCACAACATTTTTACTGATGCAGTGATGGACATTTTACACTCGTTGTGAGTTAAACGGGCGTGATTGAAATGAAAACAGGCAAAATAACAGTAAAAATGTTTTAACAAAAACAACAACAACAAACATTTGTGGTTTGTGTTATAAATACAGCATTTCTAAAGTCATGTGTATACATCTACAGATATATGGGCAACATGTATATTATTTTAAATATTTAAATTATTTGCTAAATAGTAACGGTAGATAACCGTTTAATCATAATTGTATTTTAAAACTTGTTAACTATTTCTTATCTCAAAGAAATGCACTATGTGTCGATAAACAAACAGGCTATAAACATGAAGTGGTCGAAATAAACTGTTCAAAATTTTTCTTCCTGATAAACTCCATATCGCCATACATGTAACCCGAAAATGTGTACCGCTACCGTCTTCCAAATATGGTTATACACATTTAGGCTATCGTGTGACGTCACGCAGTGTGTTGGGCGGAAAAAAATTGGGCGGAGCACTAAGCCGGTTAGAGTGCATATTGGATGTTCTTCGTAAATAAGAAAGCTATGTACAGTCGCTTCGCAAGCTCCGCTCCTTTTTAGCTTTCTTATTTACGAAGAACACCCAATATGCACTCTAACCTATACATAGTTGAAAAGTTTATTTGTTTGGGTTTAAAGTCACACCGACACAGTATATGTCATATGGCGACGTTCCAGCTTTAGTGATGGAGGGAGACATGCATTATTTAAGTACAAACGAGAACGTGAGTAGAACCACTTATAATAGGAGAAATTATAGCATGGATTAAGCCTGAAAACGGGAAAAACTTCAGAATTATCCCATGGTGTAACCACTGGAACATTTAAATAAATTCCAAGAAGGTTTCCATCATGATTTCTTATAGGGTGTGGGAATAATAATAATAAAATCAAATTTACCCCGAGTCAACATATTTTCTACAAAAAATGGTCCGACTGGGATCATGCACGATGACGTCATTTCCGGCATCAAAATAAGTCTTATGTAAATATTATATAATATGAAAGTCAGATAAACGAACAGAAAAATAAAGGGATCTACCCGGACAATTTTGATATTTTAACCCATTTTAGTTTTGTTAAATTTTAAACGTGTTTTATCTAATCTGTAGTATTATATTTGAATTATGCCCTATTAGATAAAGACGTGTAATCTATATCCGTGCAAGTTAAAGTGGGCCATATTTTTGAACGTTTAAAGCAGCTCAACCCGAATTCATTGTGAAACTACTAAGGTTGATTTGTCAAACACTATCATATAAAGCATATAATACATTTTCTAACTTTGTCCTTTAGTAGTTCAACTTTATGACAAGTAATAATCATTAAGTGAATTCAGCAGGAACATTATAATGTTAACAGATAAAAACCATAACTTGAATAATGTTTTATGACACAATTCATGACAAGTTCAGACATAAATCAAAACAATTTTACTTCTAAACAGAAACATTTAAATCGGAAATTGTTAGATAGATGGAATAGGTAAAACATTAATTTTTATAACATAAAAATATCGTATACAGTTAAGTATCGAAAACATTCCGTTCGGTCTTTGAAGTTTTATATACAGAAAATATTCAACGGTTTAATTCAAAGCAAACATATATTTGAGTATGAGTAAAGATAGTCCGCTTTAAAGAAAAGAAAAAAATTCTCACCTGATATGTGTTGTCTGTTAAACGTCAAGTCGATGAGAAAACGAAATAGAAATAAACGTTCCAAATTTGAAAATTAACTAACAAATGTAAATATTTCATGTGTTCAAATCCTATTTCAAGTCGATAGACCTGTAAAAAAATTAATAATGAATAGAAATTATCTGATCGCACCACTACCTTTTTAAGGTAGAAGTATACCAAATCTGAATATATGCATTTACATGTATTAGTTAAAGTTCCTATAAACACTGGTAAGGGAATGCTTGTATATGCGGCTGTTATGTTTTTTCTCACTCGATTATATAGTTTACAAAGCCTTTTAAAGTAATAAAGTAATAATAAAGCATTTTTATTGATATTTACCGTTCCTTATAATGTTTTTGTATCATAAAATGATATCTCACACACACACACTAACGCAATAGGTTTGATCCATATCGGTTAATAATTTTTTTGACAAAACGGCGTCAATCCGTAAGCAGCGTGATGGCGTCATCCTAAGTATACAACTCATTCATAAAGGCGGTATATAATATCGTCTTTTAAACATACAAGAAACACTGACGAAAACACAATACAATCAAATCTGAGACGTAAGTTCTTGATAAATATTTTTTATTATTTTTTTCGTATCATTTCCTTTGTTTGATACTTTTTTATCTTAGCAACAGTAGGATGCAAATCGAACAGCGTTATACGAAATTCGGCACCGAAAGTAATCTCCGCTTGAAAAATAACATAAGTGATCGTCCTTATTTTATCTTGTAGAATCAAAATAATATCGGTCTGAGCGAAGTTTATCATTTTATCGTTTTTGCATCCGCTGTTTTGCGCTGCATTGTGACGTCACGTAAACAAAAACACTTCAAACGTCTATCATATACTTAATGACTGAATTAAAGATATTGGTGTTCGGATTTATTTTCTTTTTTAGACCATTTTTTATCTTTCGAGATAGTTGTCAGAGCGAAATTAAAACAAAATGTTTTTGCAAACAAAATAGCGACTTCAAAAATGTGTCGAGGTAGGAAATAAGAACAGCGAGTGTACCTACGGTGAAATGTATCGCGCTTCCGGCCTTCTTTGATTATATAAGGGAAATATCCGATAGTGCTCGACTGATCTTCTCTAAATTCCTCCCTAGGCGTGAACTTCGAGGAGAAGACACAAGTCAAGGTCATGTCGTCTCAAGTACCAAAGACGATTGGTTGACTTGTCGTACCTTCACCAACCACCAACGAACGATGAATATGTTTAAGGAAGATCGGCATGCAAAAGACATCCACTATGAGACTTCTAGTGTGGACCGACATGGACGCTGAGATCTCGGACATATGGAATTTCCGGCGCCGAGCTAAGTATATGTGTGTGTTATCCGTGCTGTTCTACAGAAATTAGATAGCGACCGGAGAATGTTTCTAATTTCTGTAGAACAGCTACGGATGAATACTAACATATTAAGTGTCAAACTTTATTTGGCCTTTAAAACGTCACTACCAGTGCCCTTTATTAATCAATTACATGAATGGTGGGTTTAAATTTGACCTTATAAATATGCATGATTTACGTCACTTTGCGCGCGAAGACCCATGTGTCCCTTGTGTTTAAGTTGGCGGCATATGGCTGATGCAGGTTTCCATTTGCTCGATATTGAAACATTTATTTTCGGAAAACATTTTTGATGAGTTGGATAATTGTTAAAATTATCATGTTTAAATTTTTATGTTTGAAATCGCGTTGTATGTCCACCTTACTGTTAGTACTGTTGTTAATATTTTAGCATAGTAAATGTAATTCAAATGCAAACTACAACGCGATTTCAAACATGAAAATTTAACGAAAAGAAATCCACGTTGTCGTGTTTTTCACGAACTTGATAATATAGGAAAATATTTGAACTGTCGATAGTATTATCTTAATCTCCATTTTACATTAACATACATTGTTTTATGATACACTGATGTCCACAGATCTTGTCAGTTGCAAGGTTAATAATCTTCCCTATAGTACATCGATTTAGTAAATTATAATCTGCAGCATTAGCGCCGACTAAGTAAATTTCAGCCTTTATATGTCATAAAGCGATGAACATTATAACCGCCTCCGTGGTTAAGAGGTTACAGTCGATGACTTCTAATCCAGTTACCTCTCTGGCGTGGGTTCGATCCCCGGGAGATGCTTTGGTAGTTTAGCGCGGAGGAAGGTAGTCTAGTACTGGTATAACTCTCCAGGAACGATGGTTAGGAAACTACCCACCTATATGACTGAAATACTGTTGGGAAAAGGCGTAAAATGAAACAAATAAACAATCAAACAAACAAAACCTCGAGAAAATAATGTCATATGCTAGAAAATTAATATCCACTTACTGAAGTTACAGCTGTAATATGCAAATGGCGTTATGTCTTGAAAAGGGAGTGGATAATGCGCTGATAAACTTAAGATACATATGGTATTGTATGCATATAACTAGGATAATTGGATCAAAAACCAACACAAATTAAGTATCAAAACATGTTTCGCTTTATTAAGCTTCCTCAGTTGATACATATATAAAAATGAATGCATGTAACTGACAGACACAACAGATCAAGCACACATGCATGAATATAGAAAAATGAATTTCTTCATGTTAATTGCTCTATTTATAGTGCAATTTGGTCGTACTGAATCATCACATTTTGTATTGTAACTGCGTGTTGCTAAAAAGCTTTTTCGATGCACATATCGCATTAATAACTTTTCTATCTTGAGAAAATATTAGAAATGATAGTTTAACGTCTCAATTCCGACTAAAAGGGCGCAAAGAATAGAGGAATTGATAAAAGATTGACCTTGATTTTCTGTCAGAATGTTAGCCACTTTCATGGTATTTCTGCCATCGACGGCAGCATTTAAAATAAGTATCTGCCTACAACGGCAGCATTTTTTCTTCGACCGGACCAGATTGAACGTCTGTAAAACTTTCAAGAAAAGACTCACGGGATAGATATTTGGCTTGCGTGACCCCAATGGATGAATGTCTATATTGATAACATGAAATCCTGCCATTTAGTTAAAACTTGAGATATTTTGAACAAAAAACAGACATTTTAACGGATTTTTCCGAAGCTGTCACTTTTAACCTGCTCAAAATAGTCTAAAAACAGGAAAAACGAGTCCAAAATTACCTAATAGCATCTCCAGTCAATGGACAATAGTTTCATAGCAATGAAATGGGCCGTATTTGTGTAATATAATAATACCAACCAAATTTATAACCTAACTGTACCTCGCGGTAAATTTCAGGTATCTGCCATCACTGCTGTGATCTGCCATCACTGGCGCCGATAATACGGTGTCACTAAAATAAAACTAAGACTGATGTGTAAAACTTTTTCAAGGGAGACTTAATCCTTAAACTTGATATGACAATCCTCGTAACATAAGCTCGTCACGCAAAGCACACATGATCAATATACGCATTACCGACTTTATGAAATGGTTTGAAACATCTCAATGGCTTTATGCTTTAAATCAATGTGCGAGAGAGGATTTATTGATTGGTGTGCTTACTTAAATACATATTTGTTTGTATTTTATTAGATGTTTGTTAAGAGGTATTTAAAACTTTTTATACATAAATAGTTGTAGTGGTAATTTTCCATCAAAGTTGTGTCGTATATTTCATTGAATTCATGACATGTGCTTTTTGTCGCAACTTATTTAAATAACAGGACACGAAGTGGTTAAGATGTCGACTGGCCTTGGTGACTAAGACGAAATATGTAAGTTATTTAAATATTTGTTCTCTTTGTGTAATTATGTAAGCGACTTTTCAGCCATTATCTAAAACTATTAATTTCTTTAGCTATTTAATATTCTATATTTACGCATAGTGGCAATAGATTTATTTTACAGAATTTACAGACTTTACAGAATTAGACATTTTTTGTAAAATAATCATGATATGCCTCAAATAAGGGGGGTAAACTGGAATCAGATTGTGGCGTCCGTCGGGTTTTACTTGTCTGCCCAATAACGTAAGATTCTTTTGATCCACAGTCTTCATATTTGGTATTGAGATTGGTCATGATTGATAGATGACCCCAATTGATATAAAGGTCACCAAGACAAAGGTCAAGGTTACAGGGGCCTTGACTAAAAAATATTGTCCGCCCCAAATCGTAAGAATCCTTTAACCCATGGTCATTATATTTGGCATGGAGGTTTGTCATGACGATTAGATGACCGCTATTGATTTTGAGATCACTCGGTCAAAGGTCAAGGTTACAGGGGTCTTGACTTAAAAAAAGCTTTTCCGCCAAATAATTTAAGATTCCATTGACAAACACTCTTCATATTTGGTATTTAGATTGGTCATGATTAGTAGATGACCATAATTTTCACCAGGTAAAAAGTCAAGGTCACGGGGGCCTTGACTTAAAAAGATGTGTTCGCCCAAAAACTTAAAAATCCTTTGACCCACAGTCTTCATATTTGGCATGGAGATTAGTCATGATTATTAGATGACCCCTATTGATTTCGAGATCACTTGGTCAAAGGTCAAGGTCTCAGGAAGCTTTATTTCAAAAAGCTTTTTCGTTTAATTGCTTTTAAAACTTCGGTCAACAGTCTTCATATTTGGTATTTAGGTTAGTCATGATTAGTAGATAAACCTTACAGATTTTGAGGTCACTGGGTCAAAGGTCAAGGTCACAGGGGCATTGACTTAGGAAGGCTTGTCCGCCCAATAACCTAAGAATCCTTTGAACAACAGTTTTTATATTTGGCATGGAGGTTAGCCAAGACCATTAGATGACCCCTGTCGATTTTGAGGTCTCTTTGTCAAAGGTCAAGGTCACAGGGGCATTGACTTCAAAAAGCTTGTCCGCCCAATAACCTTAGAATATTTTGACCCACTGTCTTCATATCTAGCATGAAGGTTGGTTATGGCTATTTGATTACCCATGTTGATTTTGAGGTCACTTGGTCAAAGGTCAAAGTCACAGGGGCCTTGAGTTCAAAAGGCTTGTCCGCACAGTTGCTTAAAATGATTTGACCAACAGTCTTTATATTTGGTATTTAGGTTGGTAATGACTAGTAGATGACCACTTTTGATTTTGAGGTCACCGGTTGAAAGGTCAGTAGGGCCTTGACCAAAAAAAAAAAGCTTGTACAACTAATAACTTAAGAATCCTTTGACCAACAGTCTTCATATTTAGCATGGAGGATGATCATGACCATTAAGTGATCCCTATTGATTTTGAAGTCACTGGACCAAAGGTCAAAGGGGCCTTAAATTTAGAAAGTTTGTCCGCTCAATTGCTTAAAAATGATTTGGTCAACCGTTTTCATATTTGGTATTGAGGTTGGTTATGACTATTAGACAACCCCTATTAATTTTGAGGGGGCTGTGTTAAAGGTCAAGATCACATGCGCTTTTACTAGAATAAGCTTGTTTGCTTAAATGCTTAAGAATGACGGGCCACAGTGTATTTATTTTCACATTTTCATATTTGAAGCATAAAATAATGTTCTCATATATTCATCATTAAACACTCTCAGGCAAAACTGCATGAATCGGAGTCATGCAGTGGCAGTTTTTGAGGTCAGTAGGTTAAAGGTAAAGCTCACTTTAATCTTTGCCGATAAAAACATGTAGAATACATAACTTAGCAATGCACTGGCATGCTACCCCCAGATTTGGTTGGGACATTGTCCTAGAGCTCTAAATGACCAATGTTGATTCTGATAAAGTGGTATGAAGGGGTATTCAAGCAAAAGCAGTGACAGTTCTAGTTTATCCTCTTTTTAAATTTCTTATCGTTATCACACTGCTGTTTATGTGTTTTACATTTTTTAAATCATGTTTCTAGTTTATTTTTGTCAGATGTCATTATGGCCATTGATTTTTGCAATAAATAAAAACTTGCTACATGCACATGGTTCTAAAAAATTTATGCTTGAAACTGAGAGTAATAAAATAACAACATTGAATTGATAAATAGTAAAATGAGTTGCCATTTTGAAAAATGCAATAGATAAAAAGTAAGATTATCGGTCATTATCATCGTTAACGAAAGAAAGCGCTCTGCGCAACGGTTACGCTACGGCCAGTACAAATCACGTGATGATAGTCTTATCACGTGATTGTGTCAAGATGGCGGTTACTTGAACAATTGTTTTTCTGTAATAAACAAAGACATTATAACTTGAATTCTGGTGTCGATATGTTTGAATACATTTCATTTTTTGTTATGTGTAGAATCGAAATTATTTTATTACTTAAATAATTTCTCTTTCGAAAGCGGCCATTATTTTGGAAATAAGAGGTGCGATATAAAAACATTATTTTCATTATATTTATGTTTCCGAAATTATTTTTAAGTATAGTTTACATCTAACACTTTACGGTCTTGAAACATTAGCAAAACCTTGTTTGCTTTTTAAAATGAATATCAAAATTGAAAAATTCATATATCGACGAAAGGGTTGTGACGGCAGAAATCTTATCCTATAAGGGGTGATCACTGCCTGGGCGATTAAAATGATGGGTTACCTCAATGACAACTCTATACATGTATCTAGCGTATACAAATGCTCTAGACATTTGTTACTATTTAACAATGCAAAGTACTCTAATTCATTTAGCAGGCATTTTAAATTGAAAAACATAGGGCATTACACCCTAAAATGAAATTGTAATATCAACGATTTAGCTTACTAGTAAGTTTCATTTTTTACACATAATTAGAAATCATTATGACTAAAATATTGTTCATAATTATATAAGTTGATATTTGTGTTTAGTTTTCATGATGGCCGTGCGACCAAGAAATACAGATGAATTTCATTCACAATATCAGCCAAACAGAAATGTTTTTTGTGGTGCGTGCCTGGAAGAGGATGTCCAAAGAAACTCGGTTGCATACTGTCTGATGTGTGATGAACACCTTTGTTTAAGTTGCGCAAAGTATCACAGGAAAATGAAGTTGTTAAGGCATCATGTTTTAAAAGAAATAGTTGACCTGGTATCAGAGGTATTTCACTATTACATTTCAAACAAAGTAATTGCAATGATATATTTTATTTTATACTTATAAATGTTGTAGTAGCTTTCTGAGGGTATGCATTTTTCTACTCGCAACGTTGGAAAATTGATATCTCGCTCGACCTTCAGTGTCGCGAGATATCAATTTTCCACCACTGCTCGTATCAAAATACAAAGCCTCAGAAAACTACTACAACATACTATTCCGTATAAACTACAAGATAATTTTAATATTCGTATTTAGGTATCATATGTGGTTCTTTATTTACACCCCGAAGGGTGAGCATAAACTCGCCGCTTTGTCCGTCCGTCCGCCCGTCCTTCCATCCGTCCGCTATTCTTGTCCGGGACTTTGAAACAACAAGAAGTTTCAACATGAAACTTTGTAGGTAGATAGATCTCATTGAGTATAAGTGCAGTGCAAAAAACCATAACTCTGCCTTGCCTTATTTTGGAGTAATTGCCCTTTGTTCATTTTTACACTTTGAACATTGTCTAGGGCATAACCCTGAAACTATAAAAGATATCAACATGAAACCCTGTAGGTAGATAGATCTCATTGAGTAGAAGTGCAGTGGAAAAGAGCCATAACTCTGTCTTGCCTTATTTTGGAGTTATTGCCCTTTGTTCATTTTTACACTTTGAACTTTGTCCGGGACACAACTCTTAAACTATAAGAGATATCAACATGAAACTTTGTAGATAAATAGATCTCATCAGGTAGAAATGCAGTGCAAATGAATCATAACTCTGTCTTGTATTATTTTGGAGATATTGTCCTTTGTTCATTTTTACACTTTGGACATTGTCTGGGACATAGCTCTTAAACTATAAGACATATCAACCTGAAACTTTGTAGATAGATATATCTTATTGAGTAGAAGTGCAGTGTAAAAGAACCATAATTATGTCTTGCCTAATTTTGGAGTTATTGTCCTTTGGTCATTTTTATACTTTGAACTTTGTCTGTGACAATATATACTTTCCTTTGTCCAAAACTATTCAGGAGCATCACCCGGTTCAACCGGTTTGTGTTATAGACAATATTCATTATTGAGAAATGGACAAATAAACTCATGTATGTACATATTTATTGTCCCCCGCCTTTTCGAAGAAAAAAGGGGGATATAGTAATAGGCTCCGTCCGTCTGTCCGTCCGTCCGTCCGTCCGTCACACTTTCGTGTCCATAACTTTGTCATTTATCAAAGGAATCTGAAATAAATTGGCACAAATGTTTGTTATAATAAGACGATGTGTCATGCGCAACAACTAGACCCCTACCTCCAGGGTAAAGGTCGCACTTGCTCATTCAAGGTCAACATTGTCTATTTGATGGTATATGTCGTGTCCGGTCCATAACTTTCTTATCTTTGAAGGGATTTTGTAAATACTTGCCACAGTTGTTCACAATAATGAGACGATGTGTCGTGCGGAACAACCGGTCACCTACCTCCAAGGTCAAGGTCACACTTGGAGGTCAAAAGTTAACATAGTCTTATACAGGGTATATTTTGTGTCCGGTCCATAACTTTTTCATTTATCAAAGAAATCTGAAATAACTTGGCACAAATGTTTGTTATAATAAGATGTGTCATGCGCATCAACCAGACCCCTACCTCCAGGGTCAAGGTCGCACTTGCTCATTCAAGGTCAACATTGTCTATTTGATGGTATATGCCGTGTCCAGTCCATAACTTTCTTATCTTTGAAGGGATTTTGTAAATACTTGCCACAATTGTTGTGTCATGCGCAACAACCGGTCACCTACCTCCAAGGTCAAGGTCACACTTGGAGGTCAAAGATTAACATAGTCTAATACATGGTATATTTTGTGTCCGGTCCATAACTTTTTTCATTTATCAAAGAAATCTGAAATAACTTGGCACAAATGTTTGTTATAATAAGACGATGTGTCATGCGCATCAACCAGACCCCTACCTCCAGGGTCAAGGTCGCACTTGCTCATTCAAGGTCAACATTGTCTATTTGATGGTATATGTCGTGTCCGGTTCATAACTTTCTTATCTTTGAAGGGATTTTGTAAATACTTGTGACAATTGTTCACAATAATGAGACGATGTGTCATGCGCAACAACCGGTCACCTACCTCCAAGGTCAAGGTCACACTTGGAGGTCAAAGGTTAACATAGCCTTATTCAGGGTATATTTTGTGTGCAGTCAGTCTTTTACAGGGTATTTTTTGTGTCAAGTCCATAACTTTTTCATAGATAAAGGATTTTGTAAATACTTGCCACAAGTAGTCACTATAATAAGACAATGTGTCTTGTGCAACACCTGCATCCCTGCTTCCAAGTTCAAGGTCACACTTAGAGATCAAAAGTTAACATATTCTGTTTTAGGGTATATTTTGTGTCTGATCAAGAACTTCTTCAGGATTTTGAAATAACTAGGCACAAATAGTCGCAATGATAAGATGATATGTCATGCATAACACATGTGTCCCTACCTCTAAGGTCAAGGTCACACATAGAGGTCAAAGATTTACATAGTCTGTTATAGGGTATATTTTGTGTCCAGTCCATAACATGGGATTTTAAAAATACTTTGCACAAATAATCACAATAACAAGATGATATGTCAGGCTCAAAACATGGGTCTCTACCTCCAAGGTCACACTTAAAGGTCAAAGATTGACATAGTCTGTTATAGGGTATATTTTGTGTCTGATCTATAACTTCTACATAGTTAAAGGGATTTTGAAAATACTTGGCACAAATATTGATATTAATAAGACGATATGTATGCACAACACCTGCACCACTACCTCCAAGGTCAAGGTCACACTTAGAGGTCAAAGGTTAACATGGTAGAATTTTAAATTCCGTGTTTCATTTTACTAGTATTTCTTTAAAAAATTCATTGTTGCATTTACAGATCTAGCATTGACCATAATTTTGGACTGAAAGTCCTGAAATCCATACCTCAATCTTTTGAAATAGCACAATTTTATGCTTCATATAAAACTACCCGAGGCGGGGGACGTTGGTAACAAATTCTTGTTTATCTTAGAATCACCCTGGAAAACCCTTGGCAGGAAAAATTGATTATGATTCAATACTACTGATATGGGAGCCTCCACTAAAGTCAAAAGAAGGGGATTACTACCAGATATCGTACAAGGATGTAAGCAACAATAGAAAATGGAAAGTTGATGAATGTGAATACACCGTACCAGTTGCCACAATTTCATGTCTGCAGCCTAATACCATATATATATTTCGTGTGAAAGTTATACACGAAAACGGCGAGGAAGGTCCATACAGTCAGGCAACTGCGGAAATTCGAACACTACCCTCACTTGCATTAAGATTAACAAAGACTTTGACTCCCAAACAAACGATAGGATCATCATCTATATATTCGTTGCCCTTTACTGAAATGAAAGCAGTGGAAAATAGCAGGGCCCGTGCAAAAAGATTTACTTTTGGTAAGACTCTTATTTAAAATACATGCCAAACGAGGACAGTAAAATGAAAGTAAGAACACCAAAATGATATTAACAGATACCAGCAAACCTTAAATACACTTCATGTAACTCTGTATTGTTTTGCATTATATGTTCAAAAAAAGCTCATTAATCCCCATATTAAAATGCTACACATCTATCCCCCCAATTATTCGTTTTTAACTACTTTGTAATCAGTAAATTTGTTGTGATAAAGTATTGTGTCGAAAGACACAATACTTTTTGCAGTTCTTTTATGAGGAATTCATTTTGAAGCTGAGTGTTACTTAAACTATTAGAATTTATAAAATATTACCCTCTTCATCAATCTTATTATTATATCTCATTGTAGGAAATCCACATTCAGACGGATATGTTGAATCAAAAACAATACTATTAGTTGGTGCAACTGGAACAGGAAAAAGCACGTTTGTAGATGGTATCGTAAACTATATTTTAGGTGTAACATGGGAAGATCCGTTCAGATTTACGGTGACCAATGTAGAGGATGAGGAACATTTGAACCAGGTAGTTAATCTATTGAAATATTGAAAATGAAGTGATAGTATGAACACGAAGTATATCTTATAACAATATTTGAAATACACTTAAAAGTATACTGAGCTAAAATGATAATTTGACACTGGTATTTTTTCTTTTACTGTTAAATCAAATATTTTAAACAGTAACCCTAACAAATGCAAAAATTGTACTTTCGTGAATTTCTTGAAACTGTGGTCACGTGCATTAAATGACGGTGTAGCCTGCAAGATGACAAACAGGAAAAATGCACGTGCTCACCCAAAAGTATGCTGACATGCTAAGTGAAGTTAAGGGTTTTAACAGTCTGAAAATTTACTTCCTTCCACATGCTCTTGATGACATGTGGGCATATGTAAGTAACCTACGAGCAAATCTGTCTAATGCAATGTTGAATGCAATGACAGTCAGAAGAACAAGTAAACTACCCAACGTTCGTTAGACAGTTTTTCAAAAGGTCCATGTTTTCCAAATTCCTAGTCGTCTTTTTTAATGTTTACACATCTGTCAACGATTATTTATTGCCTGTAACACTGCTCTTTATTATAAATAGATGTAAATGACAAAACAAATGAAATTCCTCTGAATGTAAACTTCAGCCGAAAATGACGGAAATAAGCTCGGCATGATGTAACTTTTTCTTTTTTAATTATTAAAACAAGCGATCACTCATTTTTTAAAATAAATAATATCATCACCATTTAACGTTGAATTTGAACATATTTTTAGTTCAAGGCTTATGTATTTATGAGAAATTCGTCTGAGCTTGAGGGCTACCAGCGGGGAAACATATTTTGATATTCAAGTTAATATTGAGGAAATTTCATTTAAAATGGTATTTAAGGTTAAAATAAAAAGAAAGTGTGTTTGTTTGGTGTGTAAGATGGTCATTTTATTTTATCTCGTGAACTCTAAAATCTGTATTCTCGCTCAATCAGGAGTGTTACGTGTGACGTCACGCTGAGACTGCTGAGTTGATCAGGCAATACGAGTAGATCATCGTCGATTTGTTACTGCAACTTCCAAAAGTAGGACAATGTTTGCTGAAAGGATAAAGTTCTGTAAAAACTGTCAGAAATCTTATTTTTAAATTTTAACACTTCTTTATCGCCGTAACGGACTAATTTTGACCATAAGTCACTTAAGGTTTAACCAAAGACAGTGGAATGTTATTGTCTCTAGTGAAGAGCGGTGATTCACCTTGAGATTTGCGGTTTGTGAGTTCGTGTGTACTGCAGACGAGTTGAACGCCACACACAAGTCTGAGCTGACCGTTTTGGCGTTGAAAGTGTCAGGGTTTGAGGCTGATTTATGCCCACGGATTTCATCTTTTAGGGGAAATTATCTGCTGTCCAGTATGAAGATTTTGCAAGAAGTGCTGCTTCCATTTATTCAGAGACATAGCCCTTGATTCAATCAACTATTACGTACATTTTTCTGTGAAATGCCGTCGTGAAGCTGGACGAACTAGGTTGACGAATTCATCAACGTCTCAATCCACAACAGACGATGCAAGCTAGCACTTCAGCGTGTCCTTGTTGAACACTGACAACGTCTTCCTCGGGAAAAGTTCAAAACCGTTCAGATTACCATACGAAGACGTTGTATGGCTATACAAGACTCTTGGTAGACACAATCGTTAGTGAACACCTCGCCCCCACTGTTCTTCATTTCGTGAACTTCATTTTTAAGGGTTGTCCCACTAATTAATCTAGTTTAACGGTTTAATGTGTTTTCATTTTCTGCTGATGTCCAGGTGTTCTGTGCAGAGCATATAACTTAACTCAACACTAATACTGAAACAAAAATACCGAGTGTCAAGTTCAGATTTCTTTTCGGCTCAGTATACGTACCTATTATACTTAAATGAAAACAGTTTGTTTAAAATATTAAAGATCTGTGCAAAACATTTGTATCTTTCTCTATTAACTCATGATTTAATGTCTCATGAAATAAATGATCATAATTGTACAGAAGAAATACCTGTTGTTGTTCTTGTAGTTTTTAATGTTGTTAATTGAACTTATCAATTGGTTGCATGGAAACAAAATGCTTGTTAAAATATAAATTTTCTTTGCCTAATTTATTTTAAAATGCATTTTGTTGTTTTTAACGCATAAATCTAATTTTTGTATCAACGATTTCAGGCGATTTCTCAAACAGAATACATTAAATGGTTTACAATAAATCCGGAAAAGGGAAGCCGTTTGAACTATCAACTGCATGTTATCGATACACCAGGATTCGGTGATACACGTGGAATTGAAAGAGATCAGGAAATAGTTGAACAGATTCGTAATCTTTTCTCCGAGACTGAGCCAAATGGTATCACTTTTATTGATGCAGTCTGCTTTCTAAATAAAGCACCAGATGCACGTTTGACACCTTTACAGTCCTACATTTTTCATTCAATTATGTCATTATTTGGAAGAGACATAGAAAGCAATGTATGCTCTGTCATTACCTTTGCCGATGGCGGTACTCCGCCTGTCTTGGCTGCATTACAGCATAGCGGACTTCCTTTTGGAAAACCATTTTCATTTAACAACTCTTGTCTATTTCTCAAATCTGACGAGGATAAAGTTGAACCTGATTTTGATGTTTTATTTTGGAATATGGGACAAAAAAGTTTTAATGTATTTTTTGAACATCTTGACCAGCTTCAATCAAAAAGTCTAAAAATGTCTAATAATGTACTTCGTGAAAGGTTCTGCCTACAAGCTAATTTTCAAAATCTGAAGGACAGTCTTGATGTGGGCCTTAAAATTTATAACTTTCTAAAGCAAGAGAAAAGAATAATTCGAGAAAACAAGTCAGTGATAGAAGAAAATCGACATTTTGAGTACGAAGTTCAAGAAACAAAACAGATTAAAATGCCAATTCCAAAAGGTGGCAATGACGTTAACTGTAAAAGGTGCAGTTTTAAATGCCATACTTATTGTATGTGCCATGAAAGTGAAGATAAACCAATGTGCAAGGTTATGAATACAGAGGGCTTTTGTGAAGTGTGTCCTGGAAAATGTCATGTCAAGATACACCAAAGAGAAGATTTTAGATATGAATATGTATATATGAAGGTAAAGAAAACCTGTGCCGACATGAAAGAGAAATATTGTGAAGCTGAAGGAAAGTTATTGACACATAAGGAGATTGTAGATAGAAATGAACAAATGCTCAGAGAGCTTACTTATAATATAGAGCAATTGATAATGCTTATTCAAAAATGTAACGAACGGCTTAAAGAAATCGCTTTGAGACCCGATCCCATTACAGTGCAGGAATTTATTGATTTGTTGATCGGAGAAGAAGAAATGTCGAGAAAAGATGGTTATTTGGAGAATATCAGCAATTTGAAAGAGCTTCGCGAATACGTTGATAACCCAATGCATTTTAAATCACGACAAGAAGATTCAAGCATGACAACTACCACTGTAAAAGAAAGTGGCAGTTCAATAGACCAAGCATTTCAACAGATAACTCTGCGTTTGAGAAGCTACATTCCAAATTATAAACAATAAACTTTAAATCTTTCAAACAAATTCTAGGTTTTTTTACCAATATGCTCTGTTTTCACTTTGTAAAAGAACGTCTTAATCTATAGTACTAAGGAAAAATATACGTATCTTATATGTTGGACCCAGGTGGACAAGTAGTTAATGTTGCTGACTACAAAACACATGCTCCTCTTCGCTAAAGGTTCCAAACTGTCAGGTTCTTTGGATCATTTCTTGTGGAGAAGGTATCCAACTAGCTAACAGGAGGATGGAGGTTCTACTCAGATGTCCGCTGATGCCTGAAAAAATGCATTAATGGACACCTAAGGTCTTCCTCTACCACTAAGGCTGGAAAGTCGCCATATGACTGCCGATGTGACTTCACCATTTTTATGCTTAAATTTTGAATTCTTCGCAATCCGGTGCTAGGGGACATGGGCAGCACTTTTGTACTTCCGTTACCGTCTATGAACAGGCTCAATTTAACCGTGTCAGCATTTTTTTCATTTTGCCGTTTTGGACGTTCTTCAAGCTAGGTTTCTATTGATTTTATTTTTAAAACCAAACAAAAAAACTTTTCTAAATGCATGCGAATTTCGTCATTGGTTTTCTTTTTATTATAATCAACAAAATATTTACCATTCCAATAAATAGTTCTTGAATGTTTAATATTCATCTACATATTCTTTTGACTTGACAATTTGAAGTGAAGTAGAGATAGTCTACTATCGGCTTCTCCGTACCGTTTTGGTTTAAAGGGACTCCACTAAGGTTTAAAGGCCTAAAAACATAACACATAAATAAGCTGGGACACTTTAAACAGAAATATATGCAAAGATAGTTTGGAAATATATTTTGAAATGAATTGAAAATCGTATTTTTATGCTTTTATAGCCCGATTTGAGTGAAAAACGTTTAAACGCTTTTCATTTTGGGTCATATTTTTACAATTTGAATAATTATTCTGGAAAAACGAAGTGCGCGAATGATCTGAAATTTTGCACAAAGATTTGTGGTCTTAACCTACATCAAATAGTACATTCATCTGGAAAAAATATTTTCAATCCAATCATGTCAATCAAAAAACCTCAGTGGAGTCCCTTTAAGGTTTGTGTGCAGCTTTTAGTACATCTTCTTATCATATCAACAAGTTATTATAGATATATAAAAGTCGTAAATTCGCTATTATAACTTAAGATTAGTATCCAATACTCTATTATGACTTCATGGCCAAAATTATATTCAATACTTCAAATATGCCTTGGGGCGCATACCTTAATGTTCTTTGCCGTGCATGGTGACTGAATTATCCCCTATTGCACACTTAAAAATATCTAGTGCAAGACATTAGTTTGATTGACTTATAGCCCATTATGAATATTGAATTTTTTACTAAATTCCTACGCGCAGGATTAATCTTCAAAACAACTGACGGTAAAAGGGGGAAAACTTTACACATGTCTTTGGGATGGTTCCTGTTGGTCAGTTTCCAAGAGTCATAATTATGCCATGTAAAACTTTGTATTTGTAAAATTTAAATCCATTAAACTAAAAAACTGGTATTAGACTGTAGAAAATAATTTGTATAGTCTTGATATAATTAAAGACTATTTGTCTTGCAAAAATCGTCTTCAGCCTTGGGTCATATAATCTGTCCTAGATAATGTGTTTGGGCGAGAGAATATGAAAAGCAGTTTGTGAAATAAATAGTTAATTGTAATAAGATATATTCTTGTATTTACCTCTTGCTATTTTTTTCAAGACTTGTAAGCTGTGTTCATAAGGCCAATCATTGAGAATTGTTGATAATCTTATGTTAGTATACATGTCAAGAAAATATTACTAAGCTACATGCACGCCTATAGAAAATAACTTCATTTTGTATTTGAAATATATATTTAAGGGAAGTAACATTTTATAAAATGGCATGCAACTGGTCGTCTGTCCGTCTGTTAGTGGTTCTTGTGTCTGGTCTTATCTTTTGAACCGATGCAAGAAAATTAAAACTACTTTGCAGAAATGTTAACTATAATTAATGAGACAATGTGCAAAGCGCAGGTATAAACTTTCAAGGTCAAGTTCAGTGTCACACTTAGTCATTTTGTATCAATTTCAAAATTTCGTGTTTGTTCTGTATCTTTTAAACTGTTGGAAAGAAATTGTAACATTTTGGTTGAAATAAAAAAGTTTCTAAAGATGTTCTTATGAAGCATTGGCTTGTTGACATCTACAAAATTATACAAAACATGCTCCTGGGGTTGATATTGTCCACGACCTAGTGATCACTTACAAAGGAAGCTTTATGTAGATGTATGTATTCTTACGTAAAGTTACAATGACCTGATTTTAGATATTTGGTATGTATTATTGTTTGTCTAAGAGAACCTGCCATAATTACAAAAATGTCACTGATATTAAAAATGGCTGTTTCCATAGAGGGATAGGGGGTAGATTTCATACAATTTACATGTGAAAAAGTTTATATCGTAAACAAATCTTCAAAATCTTTTCCTCCAACTTACAACGTGCAGAGCATAGACATTTCGCATGTAGCAACACAAATATTGACTTAATTAAAGTAGTATTATCAGTTTTGTACAAATTATAAACATAAAGTGAATGTCTGTGCGGATTGTAATGTTATGAATGTAAACGGAGGTAATATGAAACGAAAAGATAATTTCAAGCCATAATATTTTGTGCTATTATATTACTTGTGCGTTTTGGGGTTGTAATGCCCCCGCCGCATATAGTGTTACCCTGTTCCGTCATTCCGTCATTCTGTTATTCCGTCATCATCAGTTTCCGTTCATTATCTTAGTAACGGTTGCACACATTCAACTCAAATTTGGCTACAGTGATATGTCAGGTCAAGTTCGAATTTGGTCATGGTTTGATGATTTTTGGCAGAGTTATGCCCCTTTTACTTTGAGAATAATATGAAATTTTCAGTTTCGTTCATTATCTCCCCAACAATATTACACATTCAACTCAAACTTGACAAATGGCTATGTCATGAGAAAATACAGGTCAAGTTCGAATTTAGTCATGGTTTGATGATTTTTGGCAGAGTTATGCCCCTTTTACTTTGAAAATAATATGAAATTTTCAGTTTCCGTTCATTATCTCCTCAACAATATTACACATTCAACTCAATCTTGACAAATGGCAATGTCATGAGAAAATACAGGTCAAGTTCGAATTTGGTCATGGTTTGATGATTTTTGGCAGAGTTATGCCCCTTTAGCTTCAGTTTCCGTTCATTATCTCCCCAACAATATTACACATTCAACTCAAACTCCCCAACAATATTACACATTTAACTCAAATTTGTCATATGGATACGTTAAAAGAATGTGCAGGCCAAGTTTAAAAAGCTCATGGTTTAATGATTTTTGGCAGAGTAATGCCCCTTTGACTTTGAAAATAATATGAAATTTTCAGTTTCTTTTCATTATCTCCCCAACAGTGTTACATATTCAACTCAAATTTTACATATGGATATGTCAAAGGAATGCACAGGTCAATTTCGAATTGGGTCATGGTTTGATGATTTTTGGCAGAGTTTTGTCCCTTTAACTTTGAAAAAAATATGAAATTTTCAGTTCACATTCGTTATCTCCCCAAAAGTTTTACATATTCAACACAAATTAAAGATATAGATATGTCATAAGAATGGATTTGTTAAGTTCGAATTTGGTCATGATAGCTGACAGAGTTATCCCTCTTGAACTTTGAAAAAAAAATCAGAAATTTTAAGTTTCCGTTCATTATCTCCCCAATGGTTGTACACATTCAACTCAAATTTGACATATAGATACATCTTAGAAATAAGCAGTTCGAGTTTGAATTTGGTCGTGGTTCAATGGTTTTGGACAAAGTTATCTTTCTTGAATGTTGGAAAAAATTTGAATTTTCAGTTTCAGCACTCATACTTTTGTGGAAATATATGTTCCCATTATACATATATTGGCTACAAATATGCAATATGCAATTTACAAAAGGTTAACACTGAATAGTTTCAGTGCCTTGAACTTTGTATAAAAATGGTTTGTGTTAACATTGAATAATTTTAAGGGCTTTGAACTTAAAATGAAAAAAATAATTTGTGCAAACAAATTTGGAACTAAATATTATAAAATCTGAAATTTGGTTGCATGCGGGGGCATCCGTGGCGTGACGACACATTTCTAGTTTGTTTCTTTTTTTTTTGTTGTTGTTGTTGTTGATATATCACTGTATATATCACTGATTTCAAAATGTATAGGTATCCTTTTCGTTCAGCACGACATATTTTCTGTATACATGTTATGTGGTACATGTACTTCTAGTTTCTTCTTTTTGGCCTTTTTCAACTTAGGTGGTTTTAAATGTGTCTTTTGACGTATTGTCTGAGATATGCAGGCTTCAACATTTCAGATCCCCTTACAAAATGCCATTTATTTAGTTCCGCCAATTCTTTTACTTAGGGACCGTACGCCGCTTTTTATGGAATGGCACTCCTGTGTCACATTGAAGGTACCATGATTTCCACCTTATGAACACATCTGCGACCGTTTCTAAATTCAAAATCTCACCATTTTCATGTTGAATTCTGCTTAAGCAGGTGCTAGGGGGTGTGGACGGTAACTTGCACTTCCAGTACCGTCCGTGAACAGACTCAATCAAACCGAGCCTATAACATTTTCAAACTTTTGCCGTGTTGGGATTTCTTTAGGAATTCTGTTTTTCTCTATTTTTGGGGTAGATGATAACATTTAACGACATGAATGGTGTCATGTCCGTGGTCCGTACTCTCAGTGCCAGAAAGGGCGAATTGACCCTCAATAAGCCTAAAATACACACGCATGCATGCATGAATACATTCAGACAGACAGACAGACAGACTTTCTCTCTCTTACACGCACGCACTTTTTTTCTAACCATGGAAACGGCCTGCTCTTCTTTTTTTAAGTGTCTCAAAAATATCTTCCCGTAACAAGAACTTGTCTTTCATACAAACTAAAATACTCATGTTTGATTTCTTTAATTTATATGTCGATTTGCGAAAGAAGTGAAGCAAAAGGGCAAGAGGTGGAGTGAAAGGTCTGGTGTTCCGTTTGGACAATCGTGATT